ACAAGGTAATGAAAAGCTGACACGTTCGACCTCTAGAATCCTAGACAAGATGGGTCCTTCCAGGGCCTTGGAATAGAAACTTGGATTTCTAAGTGAAGCCAGCTGGGCTTTGGATGAGGTGTGGCCAGTCATAGGGTTGGGCTATGGATATCTACCTAGTTGCTGACCAGCTTGGACAAGGCCACTGCAGGCACTGCATGTGATATGGGGAGCTGCTTCAATGACCCCCAGGAAATCAGAGGCCACTGCTCACCACCGTCATTCAAGAGTCAGTGTGAGCGGCTCTTTGTGATGCGTGATTTGTGATTTAATCTGATTCCCAACTTGGTGTTCCCCAGTTCTCCTTGTCTTGGAGAAACCCGTGATGACTTCTTCTTGGAGCTGGGCTATTCTGAGCGTACTAAAGTTTCTAGTGCCGATTCTTGATGAGAACAATTTCTGTTAAGCTGAAAGGTGTAGTAGCAAACCAGGGACTTTCATAGCTTCTGGAGAACTGCCTTATAACTTTTTAAACCTACCTGTCTTCCCCAGGAGACTGAATGTTTAGGTAGTTGTATTAATAGCTATATTATTTCAAGAATTAGCACAGCATTTGTAGGGATAACAAATATTTGTGGGATTAATAAATACATGAATGAATGAATGAATGAATGAATGAATCCTCCATGACTATCTCCTGGCTCAAAAGTGTATCAGCCCTGAGACTCACAGGTCTGGTCACCTGCACTGCTCCAACATATGAAGAGTTGATTTGAATAGCATGTACCCAGTCTGTGGCCTTTCTTTCAGCAGGACCTGTCCTGGGAATTCTTGACTTGCAAACAAAGCAGCTGTCCCTGTCATTGTGTGCAATAGGTACTGGCCAGCTGCCAGGAGTCCAGCGGTCCCCTCGAGGGACGGACAGCCCTTGACCTCTGTGCTACCCAGGGTATAAGCATCACAAAATCCTTTTCTATTTTCTGAAATAAGTAGTGACATGGGGTCACTGAAGTGGGCTCTCCGTGAGCTGTTGTTAATGTCAAACTTAATTCATCCCAGGGGTCTCGCTAACGGCTTCTACATTCAATTCATCTTCACGTTCATGCTCAAGTTTGCCTCTGGAAGGTCTGGTACTGAGGCAGGGGGTCCCTCACCTGAATCCCTGAATTTGAAAATAGTATGAACGGTTGCCCAACTTCTTCTAGAAGCCTTACTCTGAGTAAAGCCAGGGTGGCGGGACATTGTGAGGCTAAGTCTGGCTCACATAGGGAACACGGTTTCAGGGCCCTCCAGAGCTTTTGTGCAAGACAGAAGGGAAGTGTCTCCGTTAACACATCTCAGGGAACAGCATGCCTGACATCGGTGCTTTTCAAGTGCTGCTGCCGTTGCTCAGGTACCTCTGACAGCAGGCCTGATGTCGGCTGCCGCCGGCTTCCCCTTAAACAGGAACCTCTCACTACCCCCCGTGGAGCTGATGCTGCAGGAGGAGGAAGCAGGTGGGCAAGGACCAGTCTTCCATGAGGACCAGAGGGGAAACGAAGCTGGCTAGGCCCCTGCAGAGGGTAGCCTCACAGAGGAGGCTCTGAAGTCCAACCACCAGGGAGGTGCCCCAGGAGGGAGCCTGGGTGTGCCTGGGACAGGTGACTAGTACCTGAGGGAAGGGGAGAGCGTCCTAGTAGTGAGAGACATGAGCAGAGGCTTAGGGACGAGAACCAACAGGTTGGAGGGACCAAAGTGGGAGACAGGACACCAGGTTGATGTCCTGGGCTACAATAATGGATCAATAAGGTGGAGGAGGCTAGAATTAGGCACCTCCCCCTGAGTGTCCCAGATGACTGTCTTGCTCCTGTCTTGCTCTTGATCTGCTCTTGCTCCTGGATTCCTCGCCCTGGTGGGCAGCACCCTCATCCAGTTAGAGGCTCACACAGGGCCTTCTTAGAGTCCTTCTTGCTTAGTCCTGGCAGCTAATCAATCATTGAATCTTGCTGATTTTGCCTCTTAAACCTGTCTTAGATTCATCCCCGTAGCCACTCCCCTGGTTCAGAACTCATTATCTCTTGCTTAGGCTATGGCAATAATATCCTAATTGGTCTCCCTGTTTCCCTCCAAAGTCAATAAAGATTGTAGAATGAAAGCTGCACCAACGCACAGACTTGAAGTGTCCTGGCAGCTCTCTAGTTGGGAAGCACAGCAAGAAGCCTATCTCCGGCCCACTGAAAATACACAGAGCTTACCCCAGAGCCCATTTTGACCTCCAGGAGACAGGGACTGCCGCCCAGCCGGGGTCTCAGGAGGGATCCAGCCTGTATCCTCCTTGGAGTTCAGAGACAGCTTGGAGCCTGGGGTGTCACTCCTTTGCTTTTGATCTTTTTCCCCTGAACTCTCCCCCAATGCAATCAAGAGTCAGGCTTCTGCCGGGCACGGTGGTGCATGCCTGTAATCCCAGCAGCTCTGGAGGCCGAGGCAGAAGGATCATGAGTTCAAAGCCAGCCTCAGCAAAAGTGAGGTGCCAAGCAACTCAGTGAGACCCTGTCTCTAAATAAAAATACAAAATAGGGCTGGGATGTGGCTCAGTGGCTTAGTGCCCTTGAGTTCAATCCCCAGTACCCCCTCCCCCCCAAAAAAGAGTCAAGCTTCTGATGTGAGGCAGGATTGGCCTGGCCACCCAGGTTACTGGGACAGTTTCCCATATGTGTGGTGGGCAGTGCCAGGGCTAAGGTCACCAGAGAGAGATAGACCTCTGTCATTCAAAGGCAGTTCCCAGAATCAGATGAAGCTGCACTTGTGGGGAGCTGCCTGCTTGGCCCAGGTAGCCTGCCCTCCTGCACGGTGATGCTGGCAGCCCAGATGGAAGAAGCTGTGTTAACATACCACGTACAGGTTTGCTCTGAAGTTCCCCCTTCTCGCCCTCCATGTCTCCCATCTCTCGCCAGCAATGTTCGAAATCAATTCACAAGCCTCTGCCCTTGGGCCCCTCTGGTCTTTAGCAACAGATTCCATCATCTCCTTCTTGCCTGGAGGAATTAAGGAAATGACTCCAACACAGGGAGCCTCCGGGTCCAGTTGCCTGATAATCCAGGTACACAGGGAGTCAAATGGGACATTGGTTCAAAGCAACATGTCACTTTGAGGGCTTCTGCATACACAGAGGGAAGGAGAGGCTGGGCGCAGTTTCCTGCATATTGCCAGAGTGGTTGGGAACACTGGAGTTGAAGTGTCCCCCAACCCTGTTTTGTTCCAGAGGGGTCTACATTCCCACTGGCCTTCCCTGCCAGCCTGGTGACATGAGGAAGGGACATGGTGATGCCCAAGCAGGATGTATTTCAGTTCTAAAATTTGCACTTGGCTCTTTGGGCAGAGGAGTGGGGGTAAAGATTGTGTGTGTGTGTGTGTTCCTGCACATCAATGTCAAAGGAGGAAAACAGGACCCCCATAGTAGTGGGGGGCTCCTAGGGACTGGCAGCTACACTGGGTGTTCCAGAGCTGCCCTTTCCTCTTGAAGAGGTGCTAACCCCTCCTAACACGGGCCCTATGTGGGAGCAAGCCTTTCCCAGCTCCCACAGGGTGGTGTAAGAGTCCAAGACTAGGCCTGGATTTTCTTGGAAAGAACAAGGAAGTAATGAACTGCAGGTAGGGGTGGGGTGAGGGGGCCCACCAACCCATGAACAGTCTGACTGTCCGCACCTCAGGGGTGCTCATCCTCTCCTCCCCCAAGCTCACTGGAGAGTTATGTTCTAGCTCCAGGGTTGGCCGTGATGGATTCAGAGCTAAAGACCCCACCATGCAGACAGACCTACCTTCAAATTGTGCTACTTGCTACCTGTGTGAACTTGAATGAGTCATTTTCACATTCTGGGGCCCCAATTTTTTCATCTCTAAAGCTGAGTGAAAGACATTCTCTCCACAGAGAAGATGGGAACTAAATTAAGCAAATGCACATGGAGAGTCTCGCAGAGCGCACACAGTAGGTGTTCAACAGAGCTAGGCTTCCTCCTTTCATAGAAACCCCCCATCAATTGGTCTCCCAGTTCCAGGCCTGCCTCCTTTCTTGTAGCTCCCTCTCTCAGCCCACTGACTGCAAGTCCTCTCTTGCCCATATGTGAGTATCTCCATTAGCCCACCTCAGCCCACTCAAAGCTCCTCTCTGCTGGGCAGGGTCCAGTTTGATAGGCAGGTGACCTGAGCCATTGCACAGGGCTTAGTTGCTTAGTTTATGCACCTGGTTTAATGCTTTGCTGTTGAAAATTCTTAATCATCTTTGAACAAGGGTCTGTGTCTTCATTTGCACTAGATCTTCCAAATCATGTAGCTGGCCCTGTGGAGAAGAGCCACGCCCTGCCCAGGTGCCTGATACCACTGGTTCCTATTGGCCCTCTATAAACCAGCAGAGCAAGAGAGCCTGTGTGTCCTTACACTCTGCACCAGGGGCTTTGAAACACATTTCATCTCTGTCTTCCTAATCAAGAACAGAGGCTTTGCCAGGCTGTTAGAGTCTGTAAACAAGTCAAAATAACACCTGGCATTTTGCCAGGGGAATATTAGAGTTTGTAAACAAGTCTGGATGGTGCCTGGCAAAATGCCAGAGGGAGTGGTTTGAGAAGTAACAAAAGTGAGCCATTAAGTGTGGAGATTCCTGATTGGTTGACTACTGTATCTAGTTTATGTTAATTAGATAAGCTGTGTGGAATGTATAAATACTGCTCCTGTCCTGCAATAAATGGATCCCACTCCAGCTGTATCAAGGTACACAAGTTGTTCGTCACCCCCGCCGGTTATTTTGCTGCAGCCAGCCTGGCTGCGGCACCAGGCTGCTTGTCTGAGGCCACACAATTGGCAAGTAGAGCCTGAATCAGTTGCGTCTGATGCCAAAAGAGATGCCTTCTGATCCTCCACCAAAGCAAAGGTCCATCTATGAGCACTTGGGCAGGCAGAGAATTTTCTAGTTTAATAACATAGGCCTTTGTTTGCATATATCATTTAAACACAATCAATTTAACAAATTCCCATGGGGGAAAACCTACCACAGAGTTTCTGAAGAGATTTCTCAGAATAGGTCTCCCGGTCACAGCCCTTGCCAATGTAATTGGTCTGCAGCTCCGCGGTGACCTGGAGGGAGGACACGGCACCGTCGCACGTCTCCAGGTGGATGCTGGGGAACAAGGGCACACTCCCCGAGCCAGGCTGGTACTCGATCCTTTTGGTCCAGTCTGAATAAACAGAAGCAGGATGAAAAGTCAATCAGGTATGGCGAGTCTTGCCGAAACACTTGTTTGGAAGATGAGAATCTGTTCCAATAAATGAATTGTCTCAACCAACATATTAAGGAGCCGTCTGAAGATAATGGGAATTTCACATTTGGTGATGCAACGTCTGCCCCCTGAGAAATATCAGGCGAATATAGAAAATTGCACCCAGCTGAACCCAGTCACAGAGAAATAGAACACACACACACACACACACACACACACACCCCACAAACACGGCTAGCTTCCTACTTCACCATGTGACATGGGAAAAACAGAAGGAGCCATCACACTCAAAAACGTCACCTGGGATGCATCAAAAAGGGAGAAAGAGAAAAACATGACCACCTTTTTACACAGGCACTATGCCAGATATGGCATTGGACCTTGAAGAGATCTGACATTGGTGGTGGGAGGGATGTGGGAAGGGGTGCAGCTGGGGTGTCATTGTGAAGAGGCGGAAGGAGAATCTCAGAAAGAGGTGGGAAGTTTTTTTTTTAAGAGAGAGAGAAAGAATTTTTTAATATTTACTTTTAGTTTTCGGTGGACACAACATCTTTATTTTTATGTGGTGCTGAGGATCGAACCCAGTGTCCCGCGCATGCCAGGTGAGCGCGTTACCTCATGAGCCACATCCCCAGCCTCAGATGGGAAGTTGTAACCGCAGGTGTGCAAGGGTCCACTCCTAAACCAGCAAACGCCAAGTCTGTTCAAGGTCAAGTGCCATACTCACGCAGTATTGTATAAAACTGTGCTCACGCTTTCTCTTTGACCCTTTTATATGTGTCACTGGTGACATTTGTGAGTTCTGTGCCTCTCACCCTACTTTCCCCTCACATGGTGATTTTTAAGAATGCCTATGTCTTGTTTCAAAGTGAAAGAGGACATGGTCACTCCAGGATTGTAGGAGATCATGAGGGAGGGGGAAAGGATTCTCTAGCATTCGGGACTGTGACTCGCTGAAGGATGGCCGATGATCTTGTCATCGCTTTAAAGTGGAAAAATAATTGGGAGACAATAAAGCATTGGAGAGAGAAAAAAATCACAACCAAAATGGTTCCACACGTGAACGGAGCAATCAACACAAATAAATAGGAAGCTTGAGCTCACACTGAAAGTGACTGATACATTGTAGCATCCAGTAGAAGTCAGAGCCCATTGGAGGTGATGCTCGCAGACTGATAATATGTGTCTGCTGACAACCTTGAGCATCCCGCATGCTGCAAGGACACTGTCTGAGAGGCTGTGCAACCGTCCTCAGCTACACTTGTGTGAATGAGTGAGAGGAATCATGGAGGAAGGGGTGCTATCCATTTGCAAGTCCCAAATGTTGGTCACATAGAACCTGATTAGATGGTACCCTTTGGCTTGGGTAGAAATGAAAATCTACGAAATGTCTTGCTCTCACCCATGAGAAGCCCATGAAGTCCTGTATTTGTGAGACTCTGGGTCCATCTGCAGCCACTAGCATCTGTATAAGTCCCCAGTGGGATACTGGCCACCATCATGGTGATAAGACTGGGCTGAGGGAAGGGCCACATGGCTTGGTTCATTCAGCAGCTGTGTGTTTGGGATTTCCATGTGCCAGGCTCTGGGGCACCAAGGAAAGGGAGTGAACAGGTCAGGAGCCAGGGGAGGAGCAGGTGGTGAAGAAGCCTGTGCTGTCCCGTCAGAGAGGAGCCATGCTGTGGGACAGGGCAGAGAGGGGCTCCTTTGGATCCAGAGCTCCCAGCTGAGCTGACACCGAAATGCCAAGGATGCCTGTGGCCCAGAGGTCTCAGGAAAGCAGGCTAGAAGCTGAGGCAGCAAGGAAGGTGGCTTGACTCTGTAATGTCACGATGTTCTTGGGCAGGTCACTGGAGGCCCCCAAGTCTCAGAAATGTCCTTGGTAAAATAAGGACCATAGCACTGACCTCTCAGAGTCGTGGTGAGGATCGTGTGTGACAATGTGTATTTGGCACATAGTAGGGCTCTGAGCATAGTAGGGCCCCAGTAAGGAAGGGGGCAATGCCTCTCTGGGCCACAACCTTACCGTGTTCCACATGACTACAATCTGGGTTTAGCCCTTAGCACCCTTCCGGGTTTCTCAAGCATGCCATGAGCAGTCGGGGGCTCACCCCCAGGGGAGTTATACTGAGAGGATGTATGGGCGAGAGGAACAGAGCGTGAAAGAGGGAGGACAGACCTCCTGTGGGCCCAGGAGCCGAGTGCCATCACCCTCTAGAGGAGGAGATCATGGAGTCACTACAGCCCATGCTCCAGAGGCCCCAGGTTCAATCCTAAGGCCGAACCTCTAGAGCAAACAAGGGGCTTCTTATCGGGCCTATGTGAACGTCACGGCATGGTGAGAGGTCCACGCTCGCCAGGCATGTAGTGCCCTGGGATGTGTTAGTCTGTCTTCTGCCACTGTGACCTCAACACCCGACAGAAGCGATTGAGAGGAGGAAAAGTTTGTTTTGGCTCATAGCATCAGAGGTTCAGTCCCAGGTCGGGCGACTCCATTGCTCTGGGTCTAAGGGGGGCAGAGCATCATGGCAGAAGGGCGACGTGGAGGGAGGCCATCCCTTTCACGGAGGTCAGGGAGCAGATAAGCAAGGGGAAGGGGCTTCCGGGAAGATGGCCTCAGGGACCCACTCCTCCAGCTGCACCCCACCTGCCTAAGTGACCACCCTGTCCACTCAAGCTCAGATGGACCCATTAGGTTAAGGCCTAACTGACCACCCTGTCCACTCAAGCTCAGATGGACCGATGAGGTTACAGCTCTTGTAATCCAATCTTTTTACCCCTGAGTTTCCCTGCATTAACGCAGGGACTTTGGGGGGACACCTCATATCTGCATAGCAAAGCTGTCATGCCACAGTGGTGTGGTCACACACGGCTGCTGCTTCAAGGACTTCCTTTCTATCTCCTTCCCCCTTGCCACCTCTCTGCAGCCTTTATGGACGTCTCCAGTCTAGGTGGATGCCCTCCTCTGTGCCCCACAGCCTCCTCAACACTGGACTGAAGCATTTCATCCCCAGCTTCATGTGGCTCTCAATGCCCACCGTGCCCCGTGGTGCCTGGCATGGAACCTGCCCTCACTGTCTGGTGAGGAGAGTGTGAATGAATCCTATACGATGCCCTGTTGGAATGATACGCTTGTGTGCCACCTCCCTCAGGAACCGTGAACCTTTTAAATCAGGGGTTGTGCGGTTTGGTTGAGCCTCCACATCGACATCAGAGTTCAGGGAATAGTTGCCAGGTGGATCTGGGGAGCCCCAGACTCCGAACCTTCCTGAGCCACCGTTCTTCTTGGGCTACAAGCAGAATCCAGGGCCTGTTTGCAGCTTCTCTGGAACCACCCACCCTCACAGCACCCCAGTATGTGCTTGGTTCTCTCAGTTTTGGCAAGGCAATTAGTTGTTCCCAAACTGCTGAGGGAGGAATCTGCTTCCCAATAATAAGAACTCATGTTGAAAGGGAAGCCTGTGCTCCTGCCCTCTCTCCTCTCTCCCAGGTGGGACTCTCCCTTTCTTTAGAGATGTAAATTACAAAGTGGAGAAAGTGGCTTCCTGTCTGAGGGCTCGATGTGAGACACGCCCTTCTCCAGGGTCCCCCACTTCTGCTAGTGTGGACGAGATCTGTCACCACACCTGCTCTGCTCACAGTCGCCAGAGGCCTCTTCCCTAGAGAGAGACCACTGCGGACGCCTCTTAGGCGGTTGTCACTGCTAAGAAAATCCACCTCAAGTCTCCTTCCCGAGGAGTGGGATGTGTTTCCACCCTTGGGCCACTCCTGCCTGGGAGGAATCAGGTACAGGAGAGCTTAAGGCACATCACAAGGCCAGAGGCTTTGTGGACCTCAGGAGGCATGGACCAGGCTTGGTGAGCACTGCGTCCTGGGGAGGAGAGAGTTCCTGCAAACGCCTTCCACTTTTCCAGAAGGAGCTGGGGTGGGGATTAAGAGGGAAGAGGGTAAGCCACCAAATCCAGCCTTTGCCAGTCACCTCCCTCTTCCTCCTGGATTCCTGGAGAGTAGGCGGTGGGCAGCGGCATCTAAACTGCACAATGATGGCAGGGCTGGGGGCTGGTGGGACTTGCCCGAGGCCACTCAGCCTTCTCACAACAGTCCTTCCAGCGGTGTCTGTGTGTGTGAGAGGGTTTGTCAGAACTGAGAACAAGTTTTAATTTTTACAGGTTTATTTTTGAATACTCGTTTTATGCTGATTTTTAAAAAAGAGATAATCCTGATGTTGGCATAGACCCGGGGGGGGGGGGGGGCTGCTGGTCTCTGCACGCCTGGCCTTGAGGGCAGTCAGTGGGGGCTGGGGGTTTGCTTCACACTGAGGACTGGAGAGCTTGGAACTTGAATCTCCTCTCTCCTGATGTGATCAGGTGGACTTGGCAAGGCCACTGCCACCTGATAGTCTCATCTGTGGATTTGGGGACATTATTTTTACTCCTGGGCTGGTGGTCTTTTTTTTTTTTTTTTTTTGTACCTGGGATTGAACCCAGGGGTGCTTAACCAGAGTCACACCCCCAGCCTTTTTATGTTTATTTTTGAGACAGGGTCTTAAGTTGCTGAGGGGCCTCACTAAGTTGCTGAGGCTGGCCTCGAACTTGCAATCCTCCTGCCTCAGCCTCCCCAGCTGCTGGGATTATAGGCGTAGTACCACCAAACCTGGCTGGTGGGAAGTCTTAAAGGAGACAATGTAGACTAAGGGCCCAACCCAGAGACGGGCCCCAGGAAGGACCAACCCACTTCTTGACCTGCAGGCTTCCCAAACATCTCTGAGCTATATTCTGCTTGGAAAGAAAATCTTTTCAATTTATAAAGGGCCTAGAGACTCGTTTATGAATCGTGGTTCAATTTTTTTCTTAAGTGAACAGAGAGGAAGCAGACGGCCTGCTGTTTTAATAATCAGGCCTAAATTACCCCGTAAGTATTCCTGAAAAAGCTAACAGTGGAATGCCGTCGGGATTTAA